TCATGCCGTCAACCGATCCTTCTCTCTGTACCACTTCAATACCATCCATTAGGTCGTCGGAGAGAAGATCCCAGAATTGCACCCAAATATTTGGGGAAGAGTCCACGCCCGAGGTCTTCTCATCCTCCATATCCTATAGGGCTTCCCACACCTCCTGAGAGGAAATGGACTTGTCCAACGAGTTTGCGCCTGTGCAAGACGTGTGTTAGTTGCGCACAACAAAGCTTGTTTGGCTTGAAGGAACTCATCCGAGTGGCTATGAGGGGTCTGGGAGGGGAAGAGGTCCCAGTGGTAAACAAAGGCATAATAGGTAGTTGCATATGTGTTGCTGGTAACCGGAGCGTCCTCATTGAACATGTGTTTGGCACTTGGGACCGTATTGGCCCTATTTCGAGCTCTTGCCTTGTTGAAGAAGGATTTTGCCATGGTTCCTTCAATGTAATTCCCGTTTTAACCTGGCGTATATCCTCTAGCCTTGAGTATGTTGATCTACGGAGGTGATCCCTGACTTCTTCTAGTTTCTCGAAGGTGGGTTGGTGTTGCGGGTCTTTCTTGAGTTGTTCATCCAACTCTTCGAGGTTGAGCATAAGCTCCTCCAAGATGGCTTTGCGATCTCTTGCGTGCTGAATGGATAATTTTTGGCTTTGTCTCTAAGTTGTGTCGTCCCTTCATTGGACCAGGTGACCCTCTCCACCTACTCTGTCTTCTGGGCCTTTCGGTAGTGCCAAATGTGTTGACCATGTCTTTAAACTTTGGGAGGGGCAGATGGGAGGGGTTGAACTTATAGAATCCTGACCCCATATGGATAAGGCTATGAAAAGATAGGCCAAGTGTGATCATTCTATGATCGAAGGACTTGCAAGGGATGATGGCTGTGGTTTCTGTTGTAGTGATGAACCCTGTTAGATCTTTCGCTACTAGCATGAGGTCAATCAACGAATTTGCAACACCTTGCTCTCCTCTTGAGGATAGGCAGGCGTAGGCCAATTGGCTGGGGCGCAGCAACCTATATGCGTCCTCTAGTTGTTTGTCTGCCATAAGTTGTTTTAGGGGCGTCCGGGGCGCCGGGCGTTGTGAGGATGATATGTGGTCCATGGACAGGTCCAGTGTTGTGTTGAATTCCCTGGCCATTATGAGGGCAGCATCAGATGGCAGGTCTTGGTGGAGGGAGAGCAAAAAGTCTATCCTACTGGTCGGGTCACTGGGCACATATATGCATTCCTGGTCCTCAAATGCCAATTTCAGGCAGACCCACTTGCCTTGCTGTTTATCGTAGTCGACTAAGATAGGTTTAAGTTTAGAGGAGGGTGGGAGCCAGATAGCCCACCCATGTTGATGCTCTCTCCATAACAAGCTGTAACGCACCAGCTTATGTGCATGAACAAGCTCTTGAGCGCTTTTTGTTTTTGGTTGCCTTCTTGATGACCAGGATGATCTAATCCAGATCCAATACCTCTACTCGGTCCAGGTTGCATTTTCGGCAGATAGCAGTGTCGGGTTGAGGTCGTATCGGTTGTGCTTCTGGCCTTTCACTGCTCGCATGACTTGTCCTTGATGGGGCTCGATGCATGGGAAACGCCGACCAATCTCGATTCTTCGTTTTTGCAACTCTTGAAATTTTCTTTGTATTTTGCTCTATTTTTACGTAGGATTTATGCGCGCCTTAACGAGCACGCTTGAAATTCCTTTTCCTTCAGGTTTTCGAAGTCCGGAAATTGTGGGTGTCTACCGGGATACTTTACAACGAGTCCTTTCTTGTACATGTACATTTTGGGGATGTCCTTGCAAACCCCATGATTTTTTGTTGATGGATGGTAAAATAGGAATCGACGTAGGAACTCGCACGTCTTAGACTCCACGTGCAAAATTTTCTTTCAAACTTTTCGATTTCAATTCGGCTTTAGGAATTAGGCGCAGTTTGACTGGCATTCCACATAGCTGTTTTGTTGCCATTTTGATTTTCATCGTGCTCCTGCGTGCAATTGTTTCTCACTTCCACAGCTCCTTTCTTCGCGCCTTCACGGACAAACGATAACTGCCTTTTTTCGCCCTCCTTTCACACTCTGTCTTTCTTCTTGCCTCCATCGAATATGGGTCTTGCTCCGTACTGCTTCTCATAACCTCCTTTCTCGTCTTCGTCTGCACATAGGAAGGTCCTGTTGATGCCCCAAGTCATCGTAGAAGTCAGACAGCAACATGCAAGGAGGCTCTAAACTCCTCACACCGCGATCCGATTGGCTACGAAGTACCCTACACGGATCAACACGGCCCTCCCACACGCCTTACCCTTTCTAATCTCTTCCCTCTTCTATCCCTTCTCATCATTCTCTTTGTTTCCTTCTCACACTATAAATCTCGCAAGCGCATCAATTTTGCTCTCTCCTATTACATCAGCCAACTCTGGTGGAGTAGTGGATATATGAGGTGGTGATCAGCGAGCGGAAACGTCCTGACGAGTCGACTACAACTTTGGGGATTGCACGCTGGATCGCTGTGACAGACTGCAGGATCGGGGCGAATTCGCGTAGCAGTTGAGTGAACGAGGTGACAATCATTGGGGTTTAGTGTTTGGTACCAATGCTCGAGTGAGGCAAAGTGTGTTGGTGGTTGGTTGGATGGCCTGGGGCCATAACTCGAGAGCAGAAGTTTTTGCGCCTTGTCTTCTTCTTGTATTCATAGTTAAGATGCATAGCGAGATGCCGATTTTCCTTCTCAATCGAGCGAGTGTATATTCTCCTCTCCTTTCTCTCTTTGTGAATGTATGAGCAAATGGATGGTCGTTGTACGGGCTTGGCAAGCAATGATTGCATGTGAATGAATGTGTCCTTGAGATCCACCTATCGTCTCGCCCTTCCATTGTCAAAATCTCACTGGGTGAGGATCGTTGAAACGCAAGACCAACGACAGTTGCTTAATGAACTTAAATGAAGTGTCTGCCTCTCTTTCTCTCTTTCTCTTTTGAGGATCGAGTTGATGAATGGATGGATGCGGCTCTCTTTTATTTTCCTCCAGTTAAGGATTTTTGTTAGAGAGATCCTCCGCGCCCTCAACTGACAAGCCGGTCCATCTCTCGGTACAATCTTCCACTTGCAAGAAGAATGTCACGAGAAGATTCCCTGTGCCTTCGCTGATTGCGAACCCAAAGCACTCCAATCGACTAGTTATCTTGTCTCTACCCCTGTCTTATCTTCATTTTAAATGAATGGCCCTCTCTGTTTGATTGAACGGTTTTGGAATGGGCAACCCTTAAAGTTGCTCAACTCGTTCTCGGCCTTTTGGCTAAGATCAAGTGTAGTATCTGTTCTGATAAAAAAAAAAAAAAAAAAAAAAAAAAGTTGCTCAACTCGTGAAGATCTTTGTTGTTTGTGGCACCTAACAAAGGAATGGTGATCCATGTATTTTTGTTGTCGTCACTCGGAACTTGTCTTCGTTTATGTCGTTCTGTTTAAGAACGCGTGATTGCCCAATCTAAAACTTATTCCTGAACTCATCCATTAGTTTCCTGGGTAATCTCTCTTCATGCAGAAACATCAGGCGGAAAAGTCACGTCGTATTGCTTGATTTCCTAAGCTAAGGCGACTCCTGAACCTAATGTGGATTGATCGCTTTGCCTTGTGAACGTTGGATGCACGTGTATTGGCCATGTGGACTGAGCCAGAGGAGCCATCGGGGCGCCGACTTCTTCTACGTCCCCTTCCACGACCTTTCCCCTACAATGAGGATAGGACACTTGTGGTGGCGCTTACCATTTTCCATCCGAAATACGATGCTCTAGATTTGCCAATTCGGGTGTGATTGATGATACTCATTTCCCTCCCTATTCTGTTTTGCTTCTTTTCAATGAGTTGATTGTCATCCCATGACCGATAATTGCTCCTTCGTGGCCCCGCACGCTGTGCACTGATTGTCGCCGCACGAAGTGCTTCCAAGCCCAAGAGTTCAACGATGGGATATGTGGCGAAGAGGAGTTCAAGGAGAAAGCAGTGAGACTGCGACCCTTCGGCTCGGATTCTGAACTCTGGGAAGAATGACATCGGTCCCTTGTTCCAAACCGAGATCCAACATGCGTTCCCCCTCCTTTTCGGCCAGGAAAAGCTTTCATACTGCACGCGACGAAGTTCAAAGATACTTTTTGGATTAGATAGTCGTTGAGAAGGGACCCTTTCTGCCTTTCCCTCTGTTGTTCATCACTCCATATGTAGGACCACACGGGAGATTTCAGTTCTATCTGTCTCCACACTCAATTTTCCAAAAATCCTAGGCACACCCCATTTTACCGCTTTCCAAGTCCCTTCCTGCTCTTTAAGTCACTCCGACGGGAGTTTTGTGCAGGGCGTGAGGTTGAGTGTCAGAGGGTGTGGTGTAACGCAAGTATGGCCAGACTGCTCTTGCCTTAGCTGCATGCATGGGGTTGTTCTGCAGATATGTCTCCTCTATGCAGATTGCATCCGGCCACCTGTCCGTGATTGGGCAGTTAATCATGTGCCAAATGGCATTGTTTTTCGTTGTCATTGCCTTGATGAGCCCATTGATGTTTAAGGATCTGATGTCGAGATCTGCCAAGGCCATCTTTTTTGCCCACTGGGGCTGTCCCCTGACTGGGGGAAATCAAGAGGGGAAGGCAGACGTTGAGGCGGTTGGGCAGATTGTGGATGGACCACCAAGGGCGGGGGTTGATGGAGGGCAGGCGGGGGAAGCGGGGGGATAGAGTCGCTGGCCAAAGACTGTGGCTATGACAGGCCAGACGACAGTCCAAATGCTGAGCTGTTGTTGATCTGTTGTGTGTGGGGGTCATACATTTGGGCAAGCGGGCTCATGTGGAGATCCTGTAGCATCAGTCACCGATTGAGTTTCAGCCAATGGTTTTAATGGGGAGGAAAAAAAAGGCAGTTCTTCCCACTGGTGGTGCTCATTCAGGACATTGGCCTCCATGGAATATCTGGATGAAAAACAAAACCCTGCACAGAGTCCAGGCGACGTTTGTCCGAAAGTGGGCGATCGGGAGGTCCATGAGTTCCCGGTGAGTAAACCATCGGAAGTTGATGCCTGTTGTCCTGAGAGTCTATGAGTACTATGACAGCGATGACTCCCTTAGGGAACAAGAACGAATTGGGTAGAACTGCTCGTTGAATGCCCTCACATTAGTCCCACGGGCCCAGTACTTGAGACGTTTGAGGATCACTGCCGTGGAATGATTGCCCCTCATCCTTCCACGGCCAGTCCTGATTGGGTGGCATTGGCTTTCGTCTGTGCAGAGACTTGAGTGAGATCATAGGGCGACCTGAGTCCCAGCAGCCATTCTTCCCCCTCCACTGCTCTTCTCAGCGGGAAGGGATGCTATCATCTTCTTGGAACCAGTTCTTTCAATTTTTTTGGGCAGACGAGAGTGAGAGCTTCGTCATCTGAGTCTTGGTTTGGCTGGTCGTCGTCCATGTGTGCAAGATCAATTTGTTGGCCTTGATTTTGGGGAGGGCAGGGGGTGGCCACTATAATGGTGCAGGCATGTTGCTCCACCCCCTGTTCTGGCTCATCCTGCGGGTGTGGGAGGTTGGCGCGGGTTGGATGGTCCAGGGCAGGCAATTGCTCAGCTCCTCCATGCGACAGGGTGTCTTTGGCTGGTAGGCTATGCAAGGTATTGCATAGTTGATGCCAGCCCCTTGTTGAAGAATACCTCTTCCTGGGGGTCAGTATTGTGGTTACACATGGCTGCACCTTGTGTGTTGAAACAGGTGCTGGCATACCGATTAAGGTTGTCCAAGAATTCGTTGACCGCTAATACTCTGCCCACCCCACACCCATCCAGTCAATTGTGGAGACGTCATCATATTTTTCGACCGTGGCCAGCACATGGGGGCTGTATATCAAAACCATCTTCCTAGTACTTGGTCCTCAGTCTCTGGGTCTGTCATCTGTAAGTGAGAATATTTTTTGCTTTACTTCCATGTTCTTAGAGAACGGTGGGGGGAAGGGGGCTGTCCCTTTTGGTAAGGCTTGGCCTGAAGGCACCTCTACTTCGGCAGGCGGGAGTTGTTGCTGTGTCCCCTCATGCTGGTGTGTGGGGTTGTCCGTGTTCTTAGAGAGCGTTGGGGGGGGGGGGGGGGGGGTCTCCCTTTTGGTAAGCCTTGGCCTGCAGGCAGTGCCAGGCACCTCTTCTTCGGCAGGCGGGAGTTGTTGTTGTGTCCCCTCATGCTGGTGTGTGGGGTTGTCCGTCGCCAGATAGGTTTCGGTGGGAGCTGAGGTGTCCATATCCTGAGGCTGCTGCCGATCTCCGGGAAGATTTAGATGCACAGACTGAGGCAGCGCCAGGTGTGGGGATTGTTGGTGGAGAAGCTTCTAGATTTTCATTTCTTGTTGCCAAAGCGTGTAGCTGCCAACAGTAGGACCTGCTGCAGTTGGCAGAAGAGCTGTTGTTGCCATTGAATCTGCAGCTTCTGTTCCTGTTGTTGTTGCTGGTGCAGGCTTATCTGCTGCTGCTTTTGCTGAGGGATCTGCTCTTGCTGTATCGGTCGCTGCTGCTGCTGCTGCAGATGCCGGTATTGGGCCATCTGAGGTTGTAGCAGACACCTGAACTGCTCTTCGTACTCCCTTTGCTGCTTGTCTTGGTGCTGCTGCTGTTGTTGCTGGGCGTGCCATTGCGCTTGTTACAGCGTTTGGAGTTGCATGCTTTGTCGGTGTTCCTGTTGTTGGTGCAGAAGCTGCATTCTGTGCTGGCTTTGCAGGGCATCCTGCTGCTGTCGCTATTGCAGGTGAAGACGTTGCTGGTGTTGCTGTAGCTCCAGCTGCAGCTGTTCCTGTGACTGTTGTTGCTCCTGCAGCCTGTTGATATTGCAAGGGTGGCTGCTGCTGTTGATATTACAGGTGAAGCTGTTGTTGATTTTTCTGCTGGTTTCGCGGCTGGCGCATCACCTGGCCTTGCTGCGGTTGCAGTTGCTGGCCATGTTGCTGCTGCTGCGTCCCTGTCTTTTGGTCTGGGTGACGCTGGAGAATCGGTTGCGGTTGTTGTGGCGATCCCACAAGCAGCAGGTGTGTTTGCAGTGGAGGCTCTTGTTCTTGCTGCAGCGACCTCTGGGGGTTGTGTCTGATGTTGATGTCCCTTCTGCATTCGCAGGCATTGCAGCAGGTGTTGCTGCGTCTGCTCATGGTGTGGCTTTGACAGTAGGTGTGATTAGTCCCGATGTGGGTGCTGAACATGTTGCATTTGTGGATCTTGAGCTGGGTTCTATTGAGGCCCCTGTTGTGGCTGCTCCTGTGCCTGCTGTCTCTGCTGCTGTTGTTGCAGCTCGGCGAGTTGGGGGGGTGTTTGCAGTTGAGTTGCTCTTGCCGCAGCACCATCTGTATTGCGTCTGATGACGCTGAACATGCTGTGCTTGCTGGTATTGCAGCAGGTTTTGACGCTGTTGTGAGTGTCAGGGCTGCAGCTGTGGTTGTGGTTGCCCGCTCTGCACATGGGCTGTTATGGTCGGCCTTCGACTAGTTGTTGCGAGACCTGTTGCAGCGGATGCTAGTCGGAGTCCACGGGTTGTGGTCCAGCTTGCTGCGGTCTGTCCTTCTCTGCACCCACACCAGGCGGATAGTCTGGGGGGCGCACAAACCACTCCTGGCCCTCTTGTTGCTGTTGATATAAGAGTTCCTGGTTTCGTGGAAGCAGTTGTACTCCCGGTAGCGGTTGCTCTTTTGCTGTTGCATCCCATTCTCCATCTGCCCTGGACCTGGCAGGGGCAGTGGCTTCACAACAACCATTGCTTGTTGCACCAGCTGTGGCTCCCCAGGCGCCCCATTTTGCAGCTCACAAAAGGTCACAATCTCAATGGTTTCATCACACTTCTCCCATTTCTCTCCAGGGCTGCTCAGTACGATATCTTGTGAGATGCGTGGTTGCAACCGTTGCTGATGTAGGACCACCTCGTCCCGGGCACCTCCTTGAGTTAGCGGAGGCGGTAGAGATTGTGGCTCCAGCAGTCCCTGCAGCTCCAGGAGTGGGGCTGGATGGGGTAAGGTGGGATTTCTTTGGAGGGCAGGGGGTAGTGCTTTGTGCCGTGCATCTGCCTGCGTATCGCAGTTCTGTGTTCGATGATCCCATTCAACCCATTGCCTATTGAGGGCGAGGTCCCAGTGTTGGGAGAAGGCAGCATCCTTAATCTTCTTAAGCAAGGAATTGGCTCTCACCCATACCTCTTGCAATTTCACAGCTGTTGAGCCGGGGGCTCCTTGTGGTCCCTACTGCGATGCTGTGCTAGGTTGACTAGCGCCAAATGCTGAAGCAAGGAAGTGACAGCTTGCCCCTGACGCCCTTGCTTGCTCCTCCCCTGTGCATGCAGTAGCGCTGCGAGCGAGACTACCAGTAGCTGTGGGGCAGGCCCTGCATGCTGATCCGGAGGTATGTCGTTCTCCGTCACTATTATCTCGTCACCAGGAGTTTTCACATGAACCCTGGAAGGAGCGCCGTGATGATTGTCCGAGGCAAAAGTCCGTGGTGCCTGCCCATCTGCTCGGGCTGTTGGACGTTGGACTCTGTCTGTCGCATCTTGTTTCCGGCTCCCTGTCGTTAAGGTGTGGGGACCAGACAAAGGGCGCTGTTAGACAGTCCTTACCTGGGTGGGGATCCGGGCCGCCCGGCTGACTGGTGGGGGCCTGGGGGAGGTCCCGGGCGACCTGGCCAGGCAGGGCACCCGGCTGGGGGCCAGGGCCCCCCAGTGCACTCACCTGTCTGGGGGTCTCAGACCCCCTTTTCGCTGCTGTTGGCCTCCCGCAGGCCTACAGGGTCCGACTGGCCCGAAAAACCGTCCCATCGGGCCCGGTAGGCCTGCGGGATTTTTGAAAATCTGTGACGGCTCTGTGGCCGTCGATCCACCATGATCGACAACAGAGCCGGTGGATCTAGGCGCCAAACTACCCCCCGTTCAAACCTGGGATCGGCTGGGGTGGTCTGCCACTCGGCCCCCAGCACGATCGGAGTTGCTCCTGCGCCGTCCTGCTGTGCCGTCGGCCGTCGCCATTGCCATCGAGAGTCCTGCTGCAGCTGCTACAACGAAGGCCCCAACTGTCCTGCTGCTGCTGCTACGACAAAGGCGCCGTTCTTCTTCTTCTTCTTCTTCTTCTTCTTCTTCTTCTTCTTCTTCTTCTTCTTCTCCTCCTCCTCCTCCTCCTGCTCCGTCTTCTTCTTCTCCTCCTTCTTCTTCTTCTTCTTCTTCTTCTTCTTCTTCTTCTTCTTCTTCTTCTTCTTCTTCTTCTTCTGCTGCTGCTGCTGCTGCTTCTGCTTCTGCTTCTGCTTCTGCTTCTGCTTCTCCTTCTCCTTCTCCTTCTTCATCTTCTAGTTCGGCAACATTCCGTAGGTCACGTGAGACACGACAGGTGAAAAAAAAAAGAAAAAAAAAAGGCCGTCCTCCTCCCCCTCCTTCTCCGCTTATCTTCTTCTTCTCCTCCTCCTTCTCTTCTCGTCCTCCTCTCGTCTTCTTCTTCTTACCCTCCTCCCCCTCGCGTTTTCATCTTTGTCCTCGACCTTTCTTGATCTTCTTCTTCTTCCCCTCCTCACCTCTCTTCTTCTTCTTCTTCTTCTTCTTCTTCTTCTTCTTCTTCTTCTTCTTCTTCTTCTTCTTCTTCTTCTTCTGCTCCATTCGCTAGGTCTTTTTCTGTTCTGTTCTTCTTCTTCCCGTCCTTCGCTACTCCCTCCCTGCCTTTCTTCACACCCTACCGCCGCCGCCATACCCTACCATCGCCATACCATACCCCGCCGCCGCCACACCCTACCGCCGCCATACCCTATGGCATCCATACTTCTTCCCCATCTTCTTCTTCTTCTTCTTCATTCGGTAGGTCACGTGAGATAAGACAGGCCGTTCACCTGAACTTCTCGGCTCATCTTTTTCTTTTTCTTTTTCTTTTTCGTCTTCTTCCTCTCCTCTCGTCTTCTTAGTCTTCCCCACTCGTTTTCTTTCTCCTCCTCTTCCTCCTCCTCCTCCTCTTCTTCTTCTTCTTCTTCTTCTTCTTCTTCGTTTTCTTCTTCTTCTTCTTCTTCTTCTTCTTCTTCTTCTTCTTCTTCTGCTTCGGATCCTTGGCAAGGTTTGCCAATGTGGTGGGAGGTCCTTAGAGGTCTTTGATCTCACAGGTTTACCCCCACCAGAAATGGCTTGTTGAGTAGGGTGTTCTCCTCTGCGTCTGTGGCCTACCCCCTTTCCCCACCCGGAAAGCTCATTAGCCCCTGAACGGAATCCGCCCTTCAAAAGGGGTTCTCAGAATCTCGAAGTTTCTCGTTTTTCAAAATTCCCCGGCACTTTTTTCGGATATACCGTTTTTTTTTTTGGGCGCCGCGTCCGTTGCCCCCAGAAGACAGTATTTCAAATTTTGGGACTACTGGGGTCTTTTTCGAAATCTCCGATCTCTGTTTTTTTGGGCACCTCTGACACAGTTTGTGTACACAGGTGATCGTATTTTTTAGGCACGAGTATTCCGGTTTTTTAGTCGTGATCTGCAGCTCACCTCGTTTTTTGGCACTGTTCCAAGAGTTTTTGTAAGTACCAATGATCAGTACGATGACCTGGTGCTAGGCGTTCATGCACATGTATATGTAGCTGTGAGACAGTGGTTTTCCCTCACGATTTTTGCAACACGGCGGGTCCTGGCACTGCTGACGATTGTAGCTCTTCTCACACTGTGACAAAGCTGAGCGAGGATATGAGGGCGGGTGATGGCACGCTTGGTCTTTATAGACGAGGACAGTACGGGCCTGAGGAGGCTGGAATAGTGGACAAACGGTGGAAGGATAGGGAAAAAGTTGGGCGAGATGCCATGATGAACTATAATGTCGATGGAGATGCTTGTGTATCTCGTTTTTGATGAGGGTGGAGTGTCATCCTGAAGAGGCTTGGGTACGCACAAGCCGAAACGCGTCGAGGGATTGCGTATTTTTTTGAAACGGTGTTTGACAGTTCTTGTCCTCCGTGTAATAGTTCTCTGTTCATTGTACCCTTAACTTTTGGGTAGGCGTGACGACCGACGTTGCTTTTTGCCGTTAGAGTGGTCACGTTGGTTCTCTACTGCTCTAAGCAGGGAGGAACCTTAAAAAAAGGTGGGGTTGGATAGTTTTGGAACGGGAGTGGAAAGGAAGGGGGAAGTACGGTGAGATGGGCGGAAGGTCGAGGATGCTGAAGATGAGTTTACTCATCTTCAAACACTCTCAGGGTTTGAGGAGGCTGCGTACTGTTCTTGGTCAGATGATCGAGAGTATAATCATCCGAGTTGATACCCTCGGTAGGCGGAACTCTGCCGTGAGAAGGGCCCTAATCGAATCTCTCGAGAGGAGCGGCCGTCTCCTTGAGACATTATATAGACTCATACTAGAGCCGATCGGTAGGTATGCAAGGTTCGCCTCACTAATTTATAAGAAGAGGATTAAGCCGCTACTCGTCAGTACATTTGCTGCCTTCGATCGTATGTGTACTATACTACGCTTAGCGCTCGATACTTTGCTGTCTGGTAACTAGAATGCAGGCGAATATAGCGGGCGTGATGGGATCCAGTACCGGCGTTCAAACCATCGGAGGCCTTGGACACCCGATGATGACTGGGCAGAACATTAGTGGATCACCAGGTGGAGGCATGCCTGGCCTGCCGATGGCATCAATGAATGGTGTGAACATCTCCCCGCCTATTAACACTCCGGTATCACAGTACGGAGTTGTTACCTGCTACATCTGTGGGAGGAACGGGCACTATGCCCGGAATTGTTGTCAGGCGGCAAGCAAGCAGAAGCCGGAGGAAGAAAACAGTGAGGTGAGAGAACTGCTGCAACGAATAATGCGACGCGAGAGAGAGGAGGAGGAGAAGAAAAAACGAGAGGAGGAGGAGACTAGGAAGAAGGAGGAGCTCGAGAGGAAGGAGAACGAAAAGATACGCGAGGAGGAGGCACGTGAAGCGCGTCTAGAAGCAACTATCGTGCGCATTCTGACACAAAAGAGGGAGATGCTCGTAGCTTCGAACCCCCAGCCAGTGATCGAGCCTAAGAAACGCTCAGAAGCTATATAGCTGAATCTGACGAGGATAGTGAGGAAGTTAAAGAGGAAGCTGACAGGCTGTTAGAGGAACTTGAGAAGAAGAAGAAGGGAAGGCGAGCGAATCCAGCACCACAGGCGACTACGAGTCGCACATACAAGAAGATTTCCGCGGCAAAACAAGTGAAGGCGCGACAAAAGGCCGCGAACGAGGACGATTTCAGAACACCAACGAAGACATGCGCCGCCGAAGCTTCGAGTGAAGGAATGGTGGACTACGCCCTCACGCAGACAAAGACCTTGTCTGCCCTCAAGGCAAACGAGATCCGGAAGATCTGCGATCGTGAGGGCGTAAGATACATAGTCAAGAACCAAGCTATCGAGGAGATCGTCCGCTGCCGCACTAGGCTCGCTTACGAAGGCTTCTTCGAAAAGGAACGAGCGACACCATCTAACAAGGCCACAGTGGAAGGACTGGAGCGGATTCGGTGATGGACGATTTATCGTCACATGCCGTTGTGGGACGCCTCCGTGAACTAATGACCAAACGAAGATGGAGGGACGTGGGCGGCGCATATCCACTCTTGCTAAGAGCTGACGAGAATGAGCTGGCCCTGCTGGTTTTGCTCCTCACCATCCGTGGTTGTATCCCTTGGGTACAAAAGCTCATACGCTTCGTCGATCCCGAACGGGTAGACGTGAATCTGGCAGGAGTCTATGCCCTCATTAGTCCGTTTTGCAGGAGATTCTATATACGGTGTACTGTCAGGCGGATTATTACCAGATGGGCGGAACATGTGAGATGTTCCAAGACTGGGAAATCCGGCAATGCCCCGAAATTGAATTCGTGGCTAAGGCACTACGGATGGCATAACTATGTAGTTTTGCCACTCGTAACAGGCGTGAAGGATGGGACGACCGTGGAGGCAATGCTGATTTGCAGGTTTTCACCTGCACTCAATAAGATCGGGCGAGTTCAAGGCGGAAGACCAAAGCGACGACGTGGTAGAGTATCACAAGGACAAAGAGCGATGGGGGGGAGTAATTCTTTTCGAGTATGGCGGTGCGAAGTTTGCCTCTTTGATCGATCTATTGCGAGGGATGGATCAACCGACATGGGAGATCGACTTACGTACCGAATCCAGGAATGTCTGGGTTGACACGTGGAAGAAGATCCGGGAAAACTATGGCGAGTCAGTTAT